TAGTCAAAAACGCCAGCGCCACCTACATATTTCATTAAAATCAATCTTTCTTTTCAAACATGCATTTCACAAGGTGTTTCCATATTTTGTCCATCCACTGTATCTTGCATAACTCAAAAACAATCAGCAGTAGAAAGTTGAAATTTCATATATGGGACTGCTATAACATCTAGTCGTGCATTTCCCTTCTTTTTATCGATATTGGCAATATCAAACACCTGCCACCCAACCAATATAGCATCGCTGACTGTCGTACCAAAGGGCCTGGGTTTGAATCCCGAAGAGCGCACGTGTGTTTGTAAATGTATAGCGTAGGTGCGGCATGGAGGCGAGTTGAAAGTCCTTTTGTGTGGTTTCGGGAAAGGGAAGAGGGGTGGGAGATCCTCGGACCCACCCCTATCAGATACACTCCATCAAAACTTGGGAGGGGGGGCTGAGCTAAAGTGCAGTCACCCGAAAGGTGCTCAAGGCTGTTGCCAACGGCAGGTGTACTATACTAGCGCTTTTTGCCACGAGGAATTTTGTGGGCTTGGGCTGACTACGCCAGACAAGTGAGCATAAGCAACAGCATATCAAACATCTACGTATATAATATTTCAGTTGTGTAAAGAGAGAGCTGACTAGAGAAGGTACCAGTTATTTCAGTCGTGCCTGGGATAGCAATAGAGATAGCTTAAAACTGCTGCCTAGATGACTGGTACTTAAGAAAAGCATAACCATCTTGAGAGTTAAACATTTTATTTCTGGATGACTAATTTCATAACACATATCTTCTTGACCGGCACAGCACTATGGATAGAATCTCCACCTCACGGCATTATATAAAACAAACTACACTTTTAGACAACAGATTAAAGACTGCCAAGCAATTAATTACATGCTTGTGTAGCGATAACGAGAAGTAAAATAAGTGCGTCTAAAGCAGCGTAAGGTTTGATGAAGATTGAAATGATAGGTTTGGTTCCTTTACTTAAGGGGACTCATACACCTTAAAGCCCATAAGATGTTCGAATAGATGACTGTTGCAAAAATTGGGATAACTTCTTTATTTTAAAAGCAATTACTACCAACTTTTTACAGCTGACTAAATAATATAGCTGCTTCCTGAAATAGTAATCAGAAAGTTTGTGTTGCCACAAATATTTTTATAATTTAATCCGCTTTGTGACAACATTTTTCGTCCTGTTTCCAACTTGCGCGCACAGTTTAAAACATTCTGTTTCATAATTTAATTCCATATTTAATATATAGCTTTTATAACATTTGGAAACTATTGTGAACCTAAAATTCTAAAAATTTCATGTTAAATTTTTATTTTATTTTGAGTTGAGTTTATAAAATGTATTTTCTTAACAAAATTTGTAATGTTTTCGTTCATAAAATTTTTCAGTGTTAAAATATTCATCAAATTATTGGTTCAGTTAGAAAATAGTGCCCATATAAAGACTTCCATCAAGTTTCAAGTATGTACCATTAGCCATTTTTAAAATATCATGCGCGCAAGGTGGAAACATGGCGAAAGATTTTGTCACAAAGAGGAGTAAATTACAAAAATATTTGTGGCAACACAAACTTTCTGGTTAATAGTTTGCAAAGCAGCTATATTATGTAGTCAGCTGTAAAAAGTTGGAAGTAATTGCTTTTAAAATAAATAAAATATCCCAATTCTTGCAACAGTCACATATTTGAAGACCATGAGGGGATTAAGGTGTATGAGTCCCCTTAAGTTTTAAATAGAATCTGTAGTAAGTATAATTTCATACATCATGAATATAAAAATATTTTATTTTTGTTAAAAAATCAATGAAATGAGCAACAACAGTTTCCTGGAGGCTGTCGCGTTATTTCTCGCAAAGGCATTTCTTTTTATACAGAAAAGCGACAGTAGGAAAATTATCAGAAAAAAGAAATACTATTGGTTTCCATTACACAGGTTTTCATGGAGGAGCGAAATACGGTATAGACAATACATTTTGATAAATGACATTTTAAGATAGGCATGCTTGATATTTGGCGGATGACGAAGTGGGGAAAAGATAATCCATAGCGTGCATGAATATGTCTGAGCATGGAATAGTAATAAGCATTACGAATTTTTATTAGTAAAATTTTAATATGCAGTCGCCCAGTTGATATAGTGGTTAGGGAAGCCTGACTGCGATACCGAAAGGCCTGGGTTCGAATCCCGGAGAAGGCATGGTTGTAACTGTTCGTTCCTTCATAGGAGGCGATAGTGGCCCACCTATTAGATGCCTCCATAATAAAAAGACCACCACATCTGGCCTTGAATAGATTAATGGACTGTGTTATATTGTAACTGTTCACAATCTGCCATTGAAAAAAAAAATAATATGCAAAAGTGTAGCAGTGGCTGTAAAATAGATAGCGGAAGAAATTAAAATTCTGTCTTAAGTTTGGTAAATCTGTTATACAAAGTTATGACATGCTGAAAGAAGATTTCGAAGACGAACTTGTATCTTTTAAGTATCACATTATCACGTGTATATCAGAACATGTATCTTTAATCAGCATCATCTCAAGGCAAGCATAACTTCAATCTACAAATATAAACTAACTATAAACTAAATAACTAACTATAAACTTTATCAGAACTTACTTCAGACAAACTATTAAATTTAATAGACTTCTGAACTGTGAACTTTTATGAATAGTGAACTATTTATGAACTGTGAACTATTATTAAATTTCAATATTTCACCAAAATCCTATATTATTTATTATGTATATATCCAAAATTTTGTATTTAACTCTTCATTTGTATTTTACATTATGCATTCTATATTCTATGTACGTATCATCAAAATTTCAGTTCATATTTATATGAAATTCTGTCAGTGTATGTCAAGTGTATATCAAAATCATGTATATATCAAAATCAAATTTTTCTTTTAATATTATAAAATTTAAATGAACATGGTCCCACTGAGTGAGCAGTAAAGCTGAAAGTCTTCATGGCGGCACAGCTGCTCACCCAATGGTCTCTTGTCTCTCGTATCTTTTAAGTGCGTTTATGAATGATTTAATCTTTTCAGAATGGATGGGATTCCACTGAAGACTCAGTTCGAAACAGTAGCAGTTCTCGTAATGATGAAAACAAGAAAATGTGAAGAGGAAGTTAGCTAGAAAGGCCGCCCGCATTCGACATTTGTCCTGAAATGTATGATGTTATGACCTGTACAGGAGCTATAGCTCTCAATCATCCGCATATTACCTGATCTTGCTTCAGGAGACTTTTTTTCTGTTCTCGAACCTGAAATGAGCTCTATAGTGAGACTAATTTTCGCTTATTCCAGAAGTTCACAGCCATGTGACAAGATACAAAAAATGGACTTTGTTCGCAGATTTTTTTTTAAAAGCTGTGCTGTCGTTATCGAAAAAGCATGCTAAACGACGGATATTCCTTCGAAAGAATAAAGAAAGGTTTTACTAATTTAGGCAAATATTTATTCTTTATGAGGATATTCACCGAAATTTATTTTCATACCACATATCTTCCCAAAATGTAACGAAAATTATTCAAAATATGTTTTTCATTTCATTCATTTAAATTTCGTGAAAAACCAAATTCACAGCAATTTAAAGAACAGTACACTGATATTTAATGGTTGTAGTATTTTCGGAAAAAAATTAAAAAGCAAGTCGGATACCATAAACAAATTCTGATAGTTCGGGTTTTGGAAAAAGACTAATACGTTGTAATAAATATCGATACATCAAAATTATATATGTATACATAAGAATAAGCCTGTATTATTATCTCTCGCAGATCTGTATAGTTATATAGTTGTGCTACAATCAGGTATATGGAAAAAGGAGTTTTCGAAACATTAATTTGTGTCAAAACATGTCTCTGTTATTACGTGAAAAAGAACAGACCAATTTTAAAGTAAATACACTTTTTTATCGGAGAAATAATAAAATCATATATTTACAATGCTCATTAGAAAGAAGGCCTCGTGAGGCAAAGCTTGCATTTTTACACTCAATTATGACGTCACAGAAAAATAAATGAGTAATTTATCATTAGAGTTTGAGTACCGCGAACAACATATTAATTATTCGAGCAATGATGAAGGATTTATCTTTACAGCTAAATTCTTGAGCATGTATTTTGATATAAGAATATTTATGAATATTAATTTCTTTAAGGATCAAAAGGTAAGTAAGGCTGGGACGCTATGAACTGCACCATTTTAGTTGATTAAAATATTTAATCTGTGATTTTTTAAACTAGAGATATGGTCCTCCTTTCGATTTATTTATTCGCAGTTTATCGCAAGATTACCATGAACATAACCTTTTGAACTCTAAAGTAATATTTATCAGGCCCATTTCAATTGGATGCCAGCTAGTTTCAATAAAGATATTTCTTCCTGTTCGCAGGGAATTTTCTAACAAGCAGAAACTTCACTTTTTTTATCTTTACATGTGCATCTTTATTTGCCTATACATCAGCATAATATATGTTGAAAATGCATGACATTAACTGGAAAACCTGTATTTTTAAGTTTTTATATTATTGTAGCGATTCAAAGCATTTAAAAACATTATTTATTTAAAATTCAGACCGTTTTAAATACTCTGATATTAAAATTGATTTATGGCTTAATGATAATATATATTTACAAGTGGTTTTAGATTTTATTCACAATTTTGAGTTACTTGATTACAGTATGAAGTCACTATTTATTGAAAATAATTAATTCTTAAAGTATACAAAATCAGAATTCTATGGCATTAAACATCGTATCGGGATATCGACAAATAATTTACCGCTAGAAATAAAGAAATACTAATCAACTTTATAGGCATAATTGTTAAAGAGGCTTACTAAAGTTATGTTTTTATTGCAATTTAACATGAGCAAAGTACTGCAAGTCTTTGAAGTTCACTTCACCTTATTTTTGCACCGATAATCTCTTATCTAATTTAGATAACACAACAGAAAGGTTTCAATATATCGAAAGGTCCGGGAAAAGCATAATAGGGTGGGGAAGAAGTAGTGATTTCAATAAAAGAGGAACACCTGTTGCCTATTTCAATCAAGGAGTAGTAATTCAGTTTCAAATCGGAGGTCTTAGAAATTACAATGGCTACAAAACTTTTGTTTTCATTTGTTCTAGGTGCATGGATTCTCATTGCAGGTATTGCTTCTCTGGCAGATGCTGGATTAGAAACAAGTAAGTACTTTTTTTAAGTTATTTCTCACCAATGTAATCGTTCTTTTTCTTCAAAGCAAAAGATGCAATTTTTTTAACTATGCAAAATGTTAATAAAATAAATTAAATTATACACTATCGAAAGAGATATAACTTTGTTTCTTACATGTGTTTTGAATATACAATAAAGACATATATTTCCTTAAAAAAATTACTGAATGGGTTTTTATTTAACAAAAATTGTATTATTATCTTAACATAAAATATTTTTTTCATTTAGTAGTATTAACCTAAAATAACCAAACAATACGAAGAAAACTGAACAACATTAAATATCTTAAAGAAAATAATTTTAAAGGTATTTCTATATTATATGAAATTTAATTTCTATATGCTAATTCTGAAAATTTGTATGTTGTCATGTCTAATTTTTTAAAAATCAACTACAAAAACGTGTTCATAAAAAGCTGCTTCTCATAAAAAGAGGCAAAAATGCATTTAGCAGCTTAACATAAGTAAAAAATGAGCATAAGGAATATACATTTTACGTTTAAAGGAAAATTTATGTTTTGAACTCTAAATCGTTTCTCTCTTAAATTTTCTAGCCTCGCCAGATCTAAATTTCTTTCATTAAAACTTTTTGATATGTAATCCTATATAATTTTCTTCTCGGTTTTCTTGTATTGAGAATACTTAATCTTCCATTTCCTAATTTTCACTCGTAGTCAGTTGTAAATTTTTTTCTTTCTAAAGCTTCATACATTATCAATTCTCAATCATTTTTCTTCAAGTTTTTGTGATTAGGTTTTTCTAAAACTTTACTCTTGTTCTCTTAACTATAAATCTTTTGCTTTCTATTTTTATAGTGTTAGTTATAAACGTTTACCATTTTAATTTACTTGTGTTGTAAATTTTAAATCTTTTCTTTCCTACTTTACGTGTGTAATAAATTTATTTTTTACCTACAAATTTGATTAAATTAACATTATCTTTTAAATTTTGGGAAACTCTCTATTTTTCTCTTATCCTTTGAATTATTCTCTGAATTTTAGGAAACTCTAAAATAAATAAAAACCAAGTGATATGAAAATTAATTATGACACTTACACCAAAATAAATTCATAAAGTTTCAGTCTGCGATTATTCTTACAAATTAATAATATTCAAATAAATTAATATTTTTTTAAAAAGCTTAGTAGTATTTATCTAGAAAACGCAGCTTTGCTAAAATAGACGTTTAGTTTTGTGATTTATATAATGAACGAGTTATTTATTACATCTGCTTACTATGGTATATTTAAATGTGGGAGAAAGATCTTATTTGTACCGTGATCAGTCTCAAAGAGGTTTTTCATTATATCATCAAATAAATATATTGCCTACTATGGTTAATTAGTGAATAATAGTTTTCTGTTTTCACCTAGAATCATATTTATTACATCTGCTTACTTTGGTATATTTAAATGTGGGAGAATGATCTTATTTATACCATAATCAGTCTCAAAGCGGATTTTCATTAGATCGTCAAATATACTGTCTACTGTGGTTTATTAGTGAATACATAGTTTTCTGTTTTCACCTAGAATCATTTTCCAAATTGTTTTTCGATATTTTACACTGCGATAATGAGATAGATATATCCTATGTTAAATACAAGCAAGTATTATGTAATTAGTCCTAATTAAAGTTTTCCAAACTTTATAATTTTTTAGATCTTAAACACTAAAACAATTATTAAACCTGGGAACGCTTTTCCTCGAAATAATGGTTTTATAGATTCGTAGTTTTGGTATGGTGCGAAAAACATAACTTTTCATAGTTCATGGGGTTTAATACAACGAACTATTTACGAAATTATTGGAGTGAAATTTCGTAAATGGTTGACCTTCATTGTGTTAAATCATGCGAAATAGCAAAGGTTATGGTTTTCACACAAAGTCAAAACCACCAATTTAGAAAATCATTTATTTCAAGAAAAATTGTTCCATGTTTTAAAAGGTTTTTTCAGTGTAAGTTTATAAGGTATGTTCTACTTTATTTCTGAGCCTTCGTGATGTAACGGTAGCACACTCGGCTCGTATTCGGCAGGCTCAGATTCGACTCCCGTTGAGGGCATTGCTCATTTTTCAGGTCTTCTGCTCCAAAAAATCCTAATGACTGTACAGTTGCAGTGTAAGAATATAAAGTTAATTTATACTGATAGATAATGAGATCAGAATTCTCAGTTATAATTTGAAAGTCGACATTTTGTTTCAATATCAATACTAGACATTTTGTACTAACGTAAGTATACAAGTACACGAAGTCAAATACATATATATGAAGCAGATATACATTCATGATATTAATAATGGCCTTTTAGGTAACCTTCGTCATTTAATATCCGAAGAAAAACATTCGTATAATTATAAACAAAATCCTGAAATCTTTGATCCAGCTATTCTACATTCACATAACTGAACATATTTCCTACATTCTTCTTTAAATGTGTAGATTTGTGATATTTCTGTGCTAAACTTCTATGTAGATAATAATTTAGTAAAATGGTCCAAAATGTAAGGTGATCCTTTTTGAAGTCAGGCATTATACTACAACAATATATCAGCTGATGTTGTTTCGGCTTTGAGATTTTCATGCTGCGTGTTTGGCATGCTATATATATATATATATACATAGGGCCCGAAAATATATTATTCGTACTTTCATTTTGCTACCCTTAGTCGCTTTGATATTAAAATCCATGCCATTAAAAGTTTATTTCAAGTATTTTTTGAGTATTGTACAAAAATTATTAAAATATAGCCTTCAAAAGTTAGGAAGGAAGTATTAAAAACTTATTACTAAAGTGAAAAAAATTAAACATAGTTAACAATAAGGGTAATCATGAAGATAGAAAATAGAATTTATATAATTAGAAGTAATAAATAACGTTTTTTTGATAAATTAAGTGCTTAAATTTAAAGCAATGAAATTTCGATAATGTCCATGTAAATAGGTTTCAGGATTTATTTAGAGTAAAAATATTTTTCAAAAGTTTACAAATTTAATATTTTATTCATGTTTCATTCATAGTTCCTTCTAGAGGAAAACTATTTGCAGTGCAACTTTAAGATGTGACGAAAATCGTAATTCTACTTTTAACATGGAGAAATCGATCGTGAATTAATTTTATTAAATTTCCTTTGAGGGAAAGAATTAAATTCTAAATCCTTTTCTAAATAATTGCTATGCTATTCGATAATACTGTTGCCTATGTTTATGAAATGCTATTTAAAAATCCATTTTTTAAAGAACTTGTTATACTGATTTTTCAAATTAAGAAAAAGTTTGTCTAATATTTTATTAATTGTAAATATGTTATTATTTTTCTTTCACATTTTAGTTGAAAAATTATTGATCCATTTTAGAACTCTAATGGAACAAAAATAATTGGTGGTGACGAATTATCGTCCACCACCTTTTAGTTCGGTAGCCACTGTAAGAGAATTAGTTCTTTTTTTTTTTTTCTTTTTTTTTGAAGGAGACATGAAAAATATGCAATGCCCTCTCCGGTACCCGACACTGGACCTCTTGAATGCATTCCGAGTGTGCTACCGTTACACAACAACGTCATGCTGGAAGGAGGGAGAAAATATTTTATAAACCCTATAGCTTTGCAGTCTCAATCACGTACTAAAATTAGTTATGAAAGTCGTGAAAATCATATATGAAATCATGAATTCAGCCATCTAAAAGGTTTGCTGTTGAAGTGTGGTTTTTCACCTCGGAGAAACTAAAATTCTTCTGGTGCAGAAGATCGTCTATGCCTCTACAATAAACGACATCGATTTATTTAAAGTAATATCTACAGTTTGGTTTTCTGTTCTTCTACGAAATTTCTACATCTTCCAAATTATATTATACAATTCTGGAGCATCCTATTTCATATTTCAAATTCAGAATAATTTACAGGCTTATATACAAGTATGATTTTCTTTCACGTCAGTATGTTTGGATATCAGTTAAGCAAGACAACGGGCTAAATTACGTAAAATGTATAATACTTAAAAAAGTGTGCAACTGAATTTTTTAAAAGGAGCAAAACTCGGGCTAATAGATTATTGGTTTGTTAATCATACCATGAATTTTAAATTTTACCCAGGTATTTAAAAAATTCGTTAAACTTTTTTTCCCCAATGGCGTGCAAAATCCATCTACAGACGTTGGCCACTACTAAGACCAGAAGCTGTGGTCACTTTGTAATGGAAGAACCTTATAGGTGGGTCACTGTTGCCTCTTATGAGGGGACGGACAAATACACTCATGCCTTTTTCGGAATTCGAGACCGGGGTCTTTGGTATTGCAGTCGGCTTCCCTAACCACTCTACCGTTTGGGCGGCAAATTCGTTAAACTAATGAACCATATATTGTAAGAAATTCCCATTTTTATCATATCATCTTATTTTTATCAACTACTAAAATTTCGAGCTTCACCAGCCTTAAAATTTTAAACTGTTAATCTTACTAATTCTCTTTTTCGTCATTCACCTCACTGCGTAATATTAAAGCTTAATTCTTACGTGTCAGTTTTGCGGCATGGCTGTGTTGTTCAAGAGAAATCACATAACACTTTCGAAAATTTATTTAATTTTATATAATTTGTATTACTGACTGTTTTTAACTGTATAAATAATTGTCAATTCTTTTTTATCCAAGTAAATCTTTATATTAAACAGACACATTAAAAACTGATTTACAATTTTGCAGAATTTTTCATGCTCAGCAGGTTTTTTTACTCAACTGGCGTTAATTCCTACCAGATAGATGTTGGTTAACTGGCACATATTGCAACGAAAAACTACTAAATTTTATTCTAATAATAAAACTTGTTATTTAGCCCTTAAGATTCTATTCCAGATTTTAATTCTCAGTATATTTGTGTGACTCCTTCTCAGTATAGTTGCTGTTTATTATTAAGGTAGCCAAGTTAAGAGAGAAAAAGAATCTGAATCTTGTTCCTTCCTTCCCTGCCCCCCCTGGAAAATGAAAATTAATATTTTTAAAAGTTTCTATCGCTATTCCTATAAATCTGGTAAAACAACATAATTGTTTTCAGTTAGAGAACTAAATTTCTTTGAAATGCGTTAAATTCAACATAAGCTTTATCTAATTTGAATTGCAATCCAATTTATCCTAAAGCAGTTGGTTCATTTTTAAAAATCTTTTCTTCTTATCTTCTTTAATCAGCTGAAGATGTCGCTTTCTTCACTATTATATTTTATAGCATCTATTTATATGATATAAGTTTGGTAAAACGGCATGGAATACATGACGTTTAATCCCAATTCTGTTCCGTTGAATCGCTTCAAATTCTTACCACATATCATTCGATTCTTTTATTTCTGTTTTGTTCAATAGAAATATATGCTATAATCGCTTGAAATTTTATTATTATTTCAATTATTTAAATGTCTTATTAACCGTAAAACCGCCCAACAGGTATAGTGTTTAGCGACTATACCTGCAGAAATGACTACTATGACTGCCGTGCCAAAAGGTTAGGATTCGAATCCCGGAGAAGGCGTGGGTGTTTGTAAATGTACAGTGTCGGTGCTGCATGGCAGTACTCTGAATATGCGGCGAGCCGCAAGTTTTCTCGTGTGGTTTCGTGGAAGGGGAAAGGGGTAGGAGACCCTCAGACCCATCCCCCCGGGGAGCTCTCCATAAAAATTGGAGGCAGAACTGAGCCATAACGCACTGTCACCTGAATGATGCTCAAGGCTGTTACCAATGGCAGGCGTAATCTAGCGCTCCTTGCTACAAAGAATTTCGTTGGCTTGGGCTGACTATGTCAGACAAGTGAACTTAAGCAACAACAACATTGACTGTAAAACGTCGCGGAGTAATTTCGTGTCATGAACAGGAAGTCACTGGAAACCTACTTCCAGATTTCTGCAAAGTGAATATTATCTTGACTTTTTGATGTGTTCTAATTTTAAGTACGAAAATACTTTGTGCTTAAATTTTAAAAGCTAACTATAGATTATATTTTATTTATGCTTTAAAAGGCTTCACATACTTTTTAATTTTCAAAGTAGATTCACCTTTTGAAAGAAATCATTATCAGTCACCTAAGAAGGCTATTTTCTGACATACGTTGACAGATTTTATTTTTATTTATACAAATGCGAGGCATCTGGCCACTAAGCTATTAGTCTTGATCTTGCTTCCCAATACTTAACTTATTAATAACTTATATAATTAAGAAATAATAGTGCAATGCATTCGTAAGTATGCTCCTTATCCATAGGCAGTCCAAAATTACAAAGAGTACAGACTGAAGAATCCTTAAGTCGAATTTTAAAGAGATGGGCATTCAAACAATCGTGCCCAGTCAAAGGACTAAATAAAGTCACGGATACAGGACGAGAAAAATCTGGAATAACTGGCTTTGAAAACGTTTACAGATGTTCATAAAATCTAATGCAGCAACGTTATGCACATTGCTCCTCCGAAACCTCAAATGGGTTGTTATTCTAAATCTCCTAATATTAGTATAAATCTGCATAAAATGCTAGGGTATTTGATTTGTTAAGCACAAGAAATGAGTTTATGTTCAAGTTCTGTTTTAATAAAAAAAAATGTGTAAACCTTTTCAAGTCTTTGTAGTTAGTACAGATACTGTGATAATTCACTCTACGTCTGTTTAGAGTTTGGATCTAGTTTATGTTCCCAAAGCAAGTCAAACTCTATGGAAAGATCATCCATGTCCTCTACGGATACCGAACCGAAAACCTGCCACTGCAGTTATGGGTAAAGTGCTTAGAAAATAAATTAACAGCAAAATAATCTATCAAAATTAAGCAAATTACTCGTACTAGCTAAATTACAATATAAAATGAAGTGATTGACGTGTTCTGACTTGCATGACACGAGCATGACAATAATTTAAAATTGCCGAGTTCAGAGCAACTCGTACTGTTTCACTTTAGAATTTTGAAGTTTATCGGTTCAAAATTCAACTGATAAGTATGCTTTCCATAGAATACTTATCAGAAATAACATTCAGAGAGCGTGTTAGTTTTGCAGTCAGCCTGTAATCGATAGAAAAGCAGAATAACTGCAAATCTTATCTCGAGCTTTTATTTTTTATTTCTATTTTCGTAGAATGTTGTAATTTTTTTCAAGAATAAAGTTTTTTTCGATGGGTGCGACTGAAAATTATTAGTAACAAAAATTTAAGCTTCAGAAGGGTTTCTGCTGTGCTGTGCTTAATATGTTTTATCGTAGCAATGTAACATTTTCTCGGTAATAAAGTTAACCTTTTTTCAAGATAACAGTATCGTGTATTTTCCATAAAATTCAGTGGACAATTTTGGATTTTCGTAGAATGTTGTAGTAATGTTTTTCAATAATAAAGTTTTCCGATGGGCCAGACTGAAAAATATCAGTAACAAAAATTTAATTTGCAGCTTGGCTTCCTCTGTGTTTAAGGTTTAACATGTTTTATCTTAACAATTGTTCCCGGTAATAAAGTTAACCATTTTGCGAGATAACAGTATTACGTAATTTTGATAAAGTTCAATGGACAATTTTATATTTTTCGCACAGCGAATCGATTGAAAATGATGTAAAAAATGCAATTTAAAGTGAAGGACCTACATTGGAAAAGACCAAATACACAGGCCTCCATAGGGTCATCAGATTCTGAAAAAAAAAAAAAAAAAAAGGAATCAGTCTCAAAACATTTCAATGAATCGTATCTATTATTTTTTAACTATACTTGTCTATTTACGCATTTATTATTTTTTTTCTCGTTTGCAGTGTTCCTGATAAGCACCGAGTATAATTTAAGAGAGAGAAGGATGCTAGGATGCCATAGCAAGAAATTCACAAATTTGTCTCTCTTTTGGTTAAGCACTAAAACTGCTTGTAAAAGATAGTGAGGCACCAAAAATTATTGAAGTTTCAATTTATATCAGTCTCTCAACCTGAGTGTACATGCATATGCTTTGAATATTGCTGATCTAATAAAATACAAATTTAAAATTCATGGCCTGGTTTCCAGTAACTTCTTATCGCTGTAATAACATAAAAATATTGTTACGCTTAAAGCATCATAAGCTGTGCACTTAGGTTTTATTAGTTACTGTGAAATTTACTTTAAGTTGTAATAAAACGATAAATTTGGCAAAGTTAAGTCATTTTGAATTTAGATTATATAAGGTAAATTTATTCTACTGTTGATTTCACTAAAAACTGTTTCGAATCCTACGTCTTGAATTCAAATTATTTCGTGAAATTGGGATGTTTGGGATTATTATTTGTCTCAACATAGCGGGATTACTTAAAATTCAGTTTGTAAGTTTATGTTTTGAATAAAATTTCCATTTTTTATGCTTCAGATTATACAACAATAATTTATCTGCTGCAGTATAATATTATTATATAAAAGTATTTATTTTGATTAAGATATATGGCTTATCAAATAGAAAATAATTCTTGGTTTATTATGACATTTTTCAGATTTTGTAGAAGATGTCTGCTCTTACAAAAGCTATTACATGCTGAACCTGTATCATAAACCAAGTGGTATAATTATGGCGGTACCTTTCATGCGAGAAAAAGTGGGAACAAATTTCAGATGCAGAATTACATTGTTTCCAAAGAAAAGTTCATCTGTCGTTTTAAGTATTTACAAGTACAATTTAGGTCCAGGCGATAATTTAACAGTAAGTATTTATACTTTATTTGAATCTGTTTTACGCTAATAAAATAATTTTGTCTCATATCTCAAATAATTGGAATTGATCTCAAATAATTAGCAAGAAAAGGTTCAAGGAACAAACTTTGAAAGCTAGCAATACACAATAGTAAAAAGCAGCCATTTTTAGCTTAACCGGGTGACATGACTCTTCGTGGTGAGGCAAAAAAATAAAAAATGTTTTACAGTAAATTTTAGTGCTGAAATCGGATTCATTGCAGATTATAAGAGTATTAAGGAAGAGAAGGGTATTGTCAGATTCAACTTCAAAAGTGAATTGGATGGTTGGATAAATTGAATTTATAATAGATAAAACTTGTAATAAATCTTTTTTATAGCCACCAAGAAGCTCGAAAGTGTCGTCTATGTAACGAGCCCTCAGACAAAAAGATATTTTCTCAAATAATTTGACCTCAGAGAACTGCATGGAAATGTCAGCAAGTACAGAACTGAAAGGGTTACCCATAGCTACCACCAGTTTGGCCATTAATTATTTTGGAAAACAAATTGGGTCTGACACAAGAAGACTTTAGTAAGAGAAATCAGCTTTTCAATTTCATTGTGTGTAAAATGGAATTCTTGAAGCCTAGCTTCAGGACATTTTAGTGTTCCTTCGACTAGAACATTTGTAAACAGTGATTTAACATTCAAAGAAATAACAAAAGAGCGCAGCGGAGAAACATCTTTAAGTTTATTGACGACGTCAAAAGAATTTTGTTAGTGTGAATATTGTTAGAAAGTAAAGGAGAAATATGGAAACTAAATATTTGGCCAAAGGATATGATGCAGTTCCTAAGTGTAAAACTATATGTCGAAAAGGAATTCCAATTTTGTGCACTTTGGAGGAGCATAAAACCTAGTACAGTTAGCAAGAGATAACTGATTTTTTGAATTGAGTTGGGAGTATATGAGAAGATTTAACAGCTGTGTTAACTTTCGCGAGATTAGAAGTTGAAGGATCTTAATGATCCAGCAGCATGAGCCTTCATTAATTAGTTTCGTGACTCAACGGATCAATGTGAATGTGCGACAAGCATAACAACGATCTGCTCTCCCTTATCAGCTTTGGAAATTATAATGTTAATATTAGAATGAATTTTAAGTAAGGCCTCTCTTTCCTTTTGGTTAATATTCGAAACAAACAATTTATTATTAATGTATGCATTATGAATAATTAAGTGGTGGACTGCATTATCCTTCTATTCTTCTGAAATTTTAAAGAATTTAAAAGCCTTTTCAATAGAGAAGATGGTTTTAGGAACTCATGGCTTGGATGACCTTGAAAAGTTGAGAAGTTACATTTTCATGCTTTCATTTGAAACTCCGAAAGATTAACATTAGAGATAATAACAATAGAAAAATGAACAAAATGAGTGAGACTAGCTGACTGAGGTGTGAGTTTTTGGAATTTAGAAACAAGGATTTTTTTTTTTTTTATGACGTTGACAAGCGATATCGGTTCTAAAGCAAAATTTCTGATCAAATGAAGGAAACGAATTCGGTTCAACTGCTATTCTTCTGCGATAAAAAGAAGATGAATTTAGGGTAGAGAAATTCTTGAAAATAAATCACACATTTATATGGATTCAAAAGCGAATCTTCGAATAACCAACCCAATGTGCTAAATATTTGAATAAATAACAAAGTTAAGGGCGTTAAGCTGGTGAATAAATGCGAGAACCGCACAGGCAGTATTGTAGTTAGGGAAGACTTTTGCTAGACCGAAAGGCTCGGGTTCGAATCCCGGAGAAGGCATGGATGTTTGTAAATATATAGGTTCTGTGCGGCATGAGGGCACTATACGCGGCGAGCGGAAAGTCTCTTTCGAGAGGTTGAAGGCAGGGTAAGAGGATTGGGAGACCCTCGGACCTGTCCTTCAAAATTGGGGGGGGGGCGGAACTGAAAGAAGTTGTACTGTCACCTGTATGGTGCTGAAGGCTCTTGACGACGACTGGCGCAATCTTGCTGTCTCTGCCACGATAGATTTCGTGGGCTTGTTTTGGTGTCACTGTCTGATATCAGAAAAGTGAGGTACGTCACAGCAACAACAATAATATAAGTGTGAGAAAGAATAGGGGTATCATAAGTGAAGATGCCGTATTTTAACAACAAATACCACATTTTGATTAAAATATTATTTCACCAGAAAGTACATTTATTTAAAAGTTTCCTATTTTTGAGAGGTAAGGGCACTGGAATAGTTGAAAGAAAAGTTAATGTAAATGCATACTTTAGAAACTGGTAACAGAAGATGTAGCTAAATTCCCTGTAATTATATATATATATATATATATATAAAAATTGTAGAAAGTTCGCCTAAAAGTTACCAAGAGCTGCTGCTCCAAAAAATTTAAGACGTTTTCAAAATTAATACACATGAAAAGCAAATCATTAGACATGTAAAACATAAATACAATAAAATTAAAATTTGGTTTTTCAAAAATTGTTATTACTGCTTTGCTTGATAAATTATATATATATATATATATATATATATATATATATAAACGTAAATGAAATTTTGAAAGTAATTTTACTGTATATGATGAAAGAAAATAGTTTTTAAGTGGGGGTGTCGTAGATGCTCGAAAATGGAATTGTGCATAAAAATGTACTTATCAAGTCATTGCTTTCTCAGATTTTTCTGTATATTAACAGAATTATTTGCTAGGAAGAAGCGAAGCAGCACGCGCCATTATAGTAGCCCAAATAAATTACCCGAAAGATTCCAAATACGCACAATACAGTTTTCTTCTATTTTATTCCTACTGGTAAGTTAGTCTTGGCATACAAATTTTATTATTATTGGCCGAGGCAGTGTGTGAGTACATGCCTAGTGAATGTTATATAAGAATCATATGACAACGGCTAATTTTGAAATTTTACAATTTAAATAGATTTATTATAAACATCTTATTATTTTTAGGATAGAAAGAGCAAATAACTTAATCAAATAGGAGGCTTTAGAATCTATTAATTTAAAATTTATCTCACCTTTTTCTTATCTTATGTACACTCTTAATTTGTATACTTAATAGTTAAATATTTTTATTTATAGAGACATAGTTCGTTGATAAGGGGTATTCATCACATGAAATAAATGGAGAAAAGTGAAATTCACATTCTCATATTATGTATTTTAGAATATAAAGTAAATCTCCATTTGTTCAAAATATGTCTCATAGGAATGGAATTACATTGCACAAAAACAAAAATTTCCATTCCAATATATTCTTTTGTAATCTATTAAATTTAGCAGATTGCAATGATTTCAAATTTAGGCACATAGCCACTGACGTATTTTTAACCAGAAGTGGGAATCCTCTATTTAAATGCGGAGTCTCATGTCCGACTGCATCCGCTCTATGATTTCGTTTTTGAGGGATTTAAAACTTTTATTTTGTCAATAGTTTCAAGCTTTTATTTTGTTAATGGTTTCAAACATTTATTACAAGTGCATTTTGAGTACAGAAATCCTCACCTCACCGTTGCAGTGGCCAAGGATGCATGCAATTTTTTATTTCACTATTTTGTTCTATCTTCATGTTTGCATAAAATTATAAATTCTATACCACCATTTAAATTCTTATGCATTTAATTTGTTGATAAGTAACAGAGACCTCGAACTCCACCATCAAGCAATGTTTCTTATTCCATTTATTTGAATAAATTTTAGGCATAATGAAAAATGCAGAGGTTTGAACAGATTTGAACTTACTGTCCAGTAACTTTATCTAAACTTTTATTTTCTGCACGGTGCATAAGAAATAAAATTAAATGACTTCATTCTGAAACGAAATACTCCATCATTTTCGTGGTATTAGAACTTTTCTGGGATATCTTTCGTAAAATGTAATATCATAAAAGAGAAACAGTTACTATTTATTCAGATAACAAACATTATTTAGATGTTCATATTTTGAAAATAGCCTATCAAATAATAACGAATAGTGTATAAACTCTTCAACAACACTAAAATTGTCGCCCAGACGGTATAGTGGTTAGAGGAGCCTACTTCGGTACCGAAGGTCCCGGGTTTGAATCCCGGAGAAAACAAGCATGTTTGTAAATGTATAGTGTCGGTGCTGCATGGCAGCACTCTAAAAATGCGGAGAGCCGAAAGTCCTTTTGTGTGGATTGGTGGGAGAGGGGCGGGAGACCCATGGATCTCCCCCCGCCCCGGTGTGCTCTTCCTCCAAATTGGGGTGGAAAATAGAAGTCCAACCTCTCTTTGGAGTAGACTCTGGCAACCATTGTAACATGTAATATGGATAACAAGACTAAAATTTAAGTAAAAACGTTATCGCATCATAAAATATGCAGTTTATATAAGGTAATTATGTGAAACATAGTTTCACCCGACCAGAATCAAGAAGGCAACAAATTCAATAGAAGGTCGAGAAGTGAGAAAGCTAGAGAAGAGACGATACACTAGGCTGAGCCACCGGAATTTGTGTTGATGTCAGAAACAACAGGCGGGAGTACAGGAAAATATCTGACAGCATTTACTAATATCTGCATGTATTTCCTATGCTTATTTGCCTCGAATCAAAAATTAGTGTTTATCATCTCCTACAGCTGATGACAGGAGATGAAATATAGGAATGTGTTTATTACATAGTCTCACATCTTTTCTAACATTCATTTCTTTTATAGGTAACAAAAGCTTAATAATAGTACTCACTAAATATGGGCTCTTTTAAAAATTCATCACAGAATTTTTTTTTCTTTTGGTATGTGTTTGCATGTATGAAAAGTGAAAATCTCGTTTTCGTTAGAGATTTCCTTTCCTTAACGAAGACATGTATTATTTGCATGACTTTCTTAAAAGCAAAGAAACCTGAAGCTAACTTTTTAAAAAGGCATGTGCTTGTATCATCACTTTTAACAAGAATACATTTTTACTATCCTTGAACTAGATTTGATTAGTTAAACTGTGCTATGTGTACGCCGAGCTATTTTCAAAACATTTATATTATCTCAGATGACATACCGGAGTTTTACGTTCACTATATTATGCCGTATTCTCTTTTCCATTAATTCCTTTATAGTTCAAAATTTCTTTCCTGCTTAGTGACTGACTTCAGAATATTGTACAAATAAATATCTAATTATTCTTTTTAAAATTAATGACGATACTTAATTCCGGTAATTAATGGTGATACTTAATTTCTTTTGCACAGTCTGCCTAATTATAGAATTTGAATTCTGGAATGGGAATACAATTGTCTTAAGCATTTATTTCATTAAATACGTACAAACAAAATTGATTTATGCTTGAATAAAATACTTTTATTAAATCACTATGTTGAGTGAGTAAAATAACCGGAAATGCACATAAAAATCTTCTCTGAATCACAATTATTAATAATAATATTTGCGTAATAATTTGAATTCAGTTTAGTTCATTCGAATTTTTATGATTTTCATTTAATAATAATTTCGTGTAATTAAGTTCAATGTAAAATTAGCATTAAAGAGTAATATTTCAGAAACAGTTGCATTTTATAATGATATTTTTAAAAATGAATTTATTTGTAAATTGTAAAATGAATTTTTTCTTTCTTGTTTTAGATAGAGGATTCTGATCATCATAAAATAGCTCTCTTGGGAAAAGCAGACTTCAGAAATGAGAAAAAATCCATTACTTCTGAAGGACAAATAATTATTGATTTTCAAACGTCAGAACATAATTCTGAATTTCAATTCACTTACACCCAGGTGAATGGTGAGTTGAAAATGTGAATGCTTATTAAAAATAACTTTACATTATTTAAAAATAGCAGAAAGATTCATTTTTAATAGATTTGGGTGGAAACAGATAAATTCAGTTATTAGGAATATTACTAGCTTTAATCTTTATCTGTTTAAAGTTATTAGCTATGTTGCTTTCTTGAGCAAGATTAAGGCAAAATGAAGTATAGAAGTGGAATAAAGTTATACAATAAAAACATATTTTAAAATTTGTCTTAATTGCGAAGACTAAAATTTTGTTTTGCTACTCTACAACAGACGTTTCGGAGAACTTTGCCTTGAAAAAAACCTTATAAAATCATTTTTAGTTTTCAGCGTAAAAATTAATATACTTGAGGTTCAAGGCATTTTAGTATAATTAAGAAATTTCAGATATTATAACAACTATGTATGGCCCTTCTCAAACATTTATAGGTAAAGGTAAAGGTAAAAGTATAGGGTACACCAGCGATGTACAATAGGTCAACTGCTAATGCCTTTCCATACTAACTCTTAAAAAAAAAAGGGAGAATTGAAAGTTTTATAGGAATTTACATAGACTGAAGCTTTCCAAAAGGTCTAGAGTTTGCCTATTATGGTACATCGTGCAATCCCACAGTACGCCCTGCATCCAGTATTTAATTAAAATAAATGATGTAGGACATAAGTAGATTACAAAATAGTCGGAATAGAATTTGAGATTCACAAGATAAATTGAACATCTGATTTGGTGCAACAAAAATAGGAGATAAACATAATTAATAAACAGATAAACATAATGAGATAATTATAATTAATACTGGCAACACAATGTTAAAATGAATTGTAATAATAATGCTAAAGAGGTGGGTGTTCATGGGTTATTTCAGATATATTGGTTTATATCAGTTTATAAAGTTAACGAGGGGAGCCATTTTGTCCATAATCACAGCATATAAAAGTTTACTAAGCAGTATGTAGACTTACACTTGACAGAGATCTAGGCCGTAGGAAGAGAGTCGTTGTATAATTTTCTGAAACTTTGGATAATGATGTTTATCTTTAATTAAAAACCTTTGGAATGCCAGGAGATCAGTTCTTGGAGATTTTATGTGAATATCCTCAGTTAAGGGGCATGAGAAAGTGTCTCAAAGATTTATAGAATTTTTGTAAAGTTTTTATCTGTGGACATTCGCCCATTGTCCAAATTTGTTTTAGATCAGTGCTTCCCAAACTTTTCCGAGTAGCGGCCCACTTTTCCAATTAAAATTTTCATGGCTCCCTACTTTGAGTAAAAGTATGGCTAATCGTAAGTAAGAGATAATTTAAGTAGACACGGCCACCTTCATTTCCTTTTCCACATTGAGTTTTGCAGTATACTTGCTTTTCATTACAGCAAAGGCCAAACACCCAGCGTTGCACACATACAACTTCGAAAATAGAATTACAATCCGCTGAGCATTAGAAGGGGATTTTTATCTTTTATTGAAATCCAAAATTCTGTGAATTCCATGCTGCCAAATTTTGATTTCAATTGTTGTCGCAAGAAACTCGATAAGATATTTTTTCTCCCACAGAATTAAATTCAGAGGGAGCAATAATGTTAAATGGATCATAAATCCATGCAAAACTATCGGAATTTTGATTTTGAGAGCGTTTATCAAACCAGATAATTACGTAGCTGTCATAAGTAACCTTCTAACATAGTTTTTATAGCTTGAGAAAGATCAGGATAATTTGATTTCAAAAATTTCTGGAGCATTAAAAAACAATCTTTGTTTGCACATTAAAATTAAATTTTTCCCTCCATACTTTGAGGTTTTTTTCTATAAAAGCTGATATATTTTCCCTTGATTTGAAAAGGTACACGTATTTTCCCTGTAAAGAGAGACTGAGGGAATTTAGCTTTAAAAAATGTCGCAAAAATATGCCAGTTTCCTTAAAAAATCGGCATCAGTAGAATCTTCTGTATTTTCGTATCCTTTCTCTTTAAGGAAAACAAAAATTTCTTGCTGCAATTCAACGGTACGCGATAAAACATTACCATGAGAGAGCCAACTTGCACCGCTATAGTACAGGGATGGCCAACTCGCTTCACGCGTGCCACAGTGTGGTATAATCGGACTTTTTCTGAAATAAAATACCAGTTTTTTTTCTATATTTCAATTCTACGACTCAAATTGCGCCAAACTACAAAGTTTTGCAAAAATCGTACTAGTAGGTTTTAAAAAAATAGTTCTCAAAATTTTAGCTCCTCACTGTTAATTGAATTTGGCATATATTTATTAATCTCTCTTTTTTATTAAATTTATCTGATTCTTCCTTTCACATTTCGAAATTCAGGTTCATTCCGAATAAAATTCATCCATTTTTTTGATTTATTTTTAAAATTTGTATTTTAAAATAATTTTTATAAATTTTTCAAAAAAAATTGAATTATAATCTATAAAAGATTTATTATCATCGTAAAGTAGACGTATTTCTAAGCATACCTACAAAAAATTACAGTTTTTTATTCAAAATTTCCGAAGATATTCGTGAATTAGTATATTAGCGCGTTTTGAAATTTGGCATATTTGTTGAAAGCGATAAAACATCATATGTGGCTTAGGCACTTTACTAAAATTATTTGAAAGTAGGAACGATGTGACTTTTCTCCCGCTCATGCACAATGTAAAAAGGAGGTGCCTTTTTCCCGCTCCAAGGGAATGAAAAATTAATTGCCATAAATTAAGAAGTTCGCGTTATAAGTTATCGCGTTGCCATAAGTTAAGAAGTTATACGGTAAATAATAATAAACTATTATTCTTTACAAAAGTTCAAAAAGTACATCGTTCTTTTTCCTTTCAGATTATCCATGCATGGATAATGAATTTCAGTGTGATAATAAAAAGTGCATTCTGAAGGAATACGCTTGTGATGGTCATAACCACTGTGGTGATAACAGCGATCAAAAGAAATGCGGTAAATTTTCAAATTTTATTAAAGTTTTTTTTGCTTATTTCATGGATAAAGAATGGTGCTGAAAATCTGTGAAATCCGATTCTGATAAATATAGTTAATCGAGCATCGAACTAAAAATTGCTCAGAAGTATCTTTTGGCTATACACTTTTTAAAAGTAATTTTTAATTACTATATATAAACATTATTAGTTATCCCATTAAGCTCAAATGTATTTTCATTCCCATAAGAATCATAAATATTTTCAGTTACAGAATGTTCAGAAATATTTTCATATAATATTTGATATTCGTTTTGGTAACAGAAAGCTTAAGAAGACTTTTAACTGCAGTAAACTGAGAAATTGGTTTTAAGGCAGAATGTTCAAAAACGACTTTTGGGATCGAATTTTTTTTAATAGCAGAATTTTGAAATTTAAAATGTGTTTTATGTGTTTTATTATAAAATGGTTAAACGTGACATTTTATTTGACGTAATACTAATTACAGTTAATTTATTTTCAAGAAAATAGAGACAAGAGTTTTTAACGGACAAGATTTTTTTTAGATACGGCATTTTTGTTTTTAAAATGTCCGTTTTTCAACTTCTTTAAAAGTAATGCACATCTGAGAAATCAATGGAATTTTAGAAATACCAGCTTGAGTCACATTTTATTATATCCTTTCTATAGCATATAACATATAACTACAGATTATTGTGAAAAATATTGATCAATAGAGATCTTATTAAGAGAATCTTGCAAAATCCATGTACTAGTACACATTGCCAGGCATTAGTATGGGCACGTAGCCAACTATTAATATCATTTACATTAATTAAAAGTGAAAAATATTTGTACTTAAGTGAATTTATTTAGAATTTACAAATAAATAATCTAAAGTAATGCAACTTCATGAGAATATTATTAACGTGTTTATGGACTTATGGTGAAAACTTCTAAATTACTTGTGGGAAAATTCTTTGAGCACATCAAGTATAACACAATTACGAATAAAGACACTAATAAATCACAAAAGGGAAATCGCTGGATGACATTTAAGGGAAAAAAACACACTTTGAATTATTATAATTTGCTTATTAATCGAACTCTCAACTCAAATTCAAAATGATATCGCAAATTTTAAGTTTTGGTGACTGTTTGTAGCATGGGAGTCAAACATTTTGTGTTTTATTTTTTATAATGAGTTCGAACGTTTTCGAAATCTAAGTATAGGAACCTGACGAGCATGTAGGAAGTTAAATTTTTTAACTTTAATAAAACTGATTTCTTTAAATTGAAACATGCGAAAACATGAAACTGAACGTCCTTTAAAACACTTTTGTTACTGGAGGTAAAAGTATACGACCAGCGATTGTGAGCATAAGGGCCGAACAAAGGACTCATGTGGACACGGTGCATATTGAAGAAATTCTATAATTATGGCGAAGCATATCAAGATTACCTTCGAACTTCCATAACTCGTATATGTAGGTTATAATCTTTTTTGCTCTTTTCAGATTTTGGTGGTGTCTGGTTTGAATTTTTTTTCTGTAAAAGGTTATTTCAGAATCAAAAGAATATTTAATTTTAAAGCAATATTATTCTATTTTTTTTCTGTTTCTTTTTTCAGTTCCCAAAGGAAAGCACGAGATTCATGTACCTGACAAAACGCTTGTAGAAAGAAAATCCTCAGTACTCGTGTGGCTGATTGCTATCGGTGTTTGTTCTGTTTTATTACTTATAGTCATAATTGTTTTCATTGTCGTATTGGTACGTAATCGGCGGAAAAATGCTGCAGCTTCCGCCGCAGCATCTCCAAACAACGCTAGTGTAAATACCAACCTCCAGCCTGTTTCATCGAATGTGCCAGTTCAGCCGCAACAGCTATCAGCAAACAACCTGCAAAGAGCCGCTATTACACCTCAAGAATCAAGTTCTAAACAAAGACCGTCAGTCTTCAGTCAAATTCGCAGATCCTTGAAGAGACAAAAAAACGAAAATCCCGATGCGTTTGCCCAAGCAGATGACAGAAGGGAGACGTACCAGGTACCCTCGATGTACCCAAATTTAGATCAAATACCATCTGCTCCTGAACTCAGTGGTGTTGTTAACCCAGATTTCAAAATTGAGGAATGATTTAAATCTATCTACTGTTTTAGAAACTCTAAACGTAACTACAGTTTTAGAAATTGGAAATGTAACTGCTATTGAGAATTCGGAATGTAAGAAAACTGTGTTTTATAATTAAATATGAAATTATATAAATTGTAGCAGTTTGATAATTTTTCTACTCTTGCTTTAGAAAACAAAATGTCTTGCTTCTATAATATGTGGCATTTTCTGTCATACTTTAATCAAAGCAACAGAGATTATATGTTTACAATTACATTTACATTTAGGAACATAGAAGATCATTTAATAGGCTTAAATGAATTCATTGATTTATTTGTAATAAATATTATTTGCAGGAAAATATAAAATAAACATCAGAATCTCGATCATTCAAGTTCTGGAGAACCGATTCCACTTCGGATAACTAAAAATTAGGATAAAATAAACGGTCGCAATGATTTTGCATTAAAAATTCCAGATACGAAATTTTTGTTATTTTATACAAATTATTTTTAAGCAACTTTTCATGTATTAGCGAAATGAATGTCATTTGAAAAAGTTAAAAAAAAAAAAAAAAAAATCAAAACTCATACTTTCACCTAATACTTCCTTTATCGTGATGCAGCTAATATAAATAATAGATAGTTTTATGACGAAATGTGCAACATTGATGTAATATTTTAATATAAATGGTTTATCTTTCATTGGCATTAAATATAAATTATGAAAAGGTAGCTAAAACAGACTGTAGTTTTACATTTTATTGTTTAGAATTTTCTTAAAAGATGCCTTTATTTTTTGCATTACGACTTCTTTGCCTCAATGTTCTTAAAAGTCATTCCAGGATAAAACTGGCGGCAGATGTGGTTTTTGCTGCTACTTTGTGTGCGAAATGAAAATAGTATTTGCCTCCCGAACTCATTCAAAGAGCCAATTAACTTTGAGCGAATGAACGGTCGTTCGCCAAAAATTAGCTTTAGCTCATTAGAGTTCACAAATCGAAAGAAATTGTTGGAAGCGTGCTTGAAAAGGTCGATTCTCATTTTAGACGGAAAGCCATTCATTTCTGTTAACATTCATTCTTAATATGTTAAAAGTGACTTTTATTGATAAAGAACTTTATTTATAATTCTACATAGAAAGGAGGTTTTAGAGAATCTCAAATTTATAGTTGAAAGACATCAATCGAACGGGTTAATATTTCGATTGAATCGATTTTCCTGATTTCAGTGCTCGTTCGAGATTTCAGGTTTTCGCTCGATCGTCTCACATCGCACTTGATTTAACCCCCTATTCCCGATCTCATTCATCAAATTTATTGTTAAAGAACACTGAATCATAAAAAGAACAAATTCAGTTCAGTGAGCCAATGGTTTACACCTGATCATAGAAAAGAGCGATTATTCCAACCTCTAGTACAAAGTACTGTTTCCATGTTATTTAGACCATCTGTAGAACAAATTAAGATTTTCTGCATACTCACTATAATATCAAATGGATTAAATTGTGGATTAAAATATATGGGTTAATAGAAAGTGCATTGCAGTTGATTCCTTTCGGATTCTCCAGGCGCGGGTAAACGATTCTTCTTTTCTGAAGCATGTAAATAAAATCTGTTGCAAAAAACGTAAAACTTGACATACAATTTGTGCTTGAAGAGTTATGCAAATGAATATAATTTTTTCCAGTTATACAAAGGGCTCATTTAATGTGTAAGAGAAGGGAGCATCATGCAGTATTTAGAAAAATCGGGGAATTTTAAGTAGATTTTTTAGCTTTAATACTTCAATTCATGCCCAAATATGCCTTATCATGTACTCAACTTTACCATAGACCATTGCCCGATTTCAAATGTAGCTGTGTATAACGAGACTCAAAATACTAAAGACGTGCGGACACGTAGCGAGGAGGAGGGGGCAAGGGGCGCCGCTCGCAGAGGGGCGCTAAATGGTCTTCAAACAAGATTTTCATCATATCACTGTGCTTTTTTCGGAGGGGGAAGCCAAAAAAGTATTTTGCCCTGGGCGCCAGTTATGCTCGCTACTCCACTGGCGGACAATTTAGATGATCGCATTAAGGAAAGAGTTATGACTACAGAATTAATGGCATTATCACCCATTTGAAGGCATCTGCTATACTTTGTGAGTCTTGTAGTATCAAGCTATACTACTCGTACTTGGAGATAAATGGTAGAATCTGTCGTTAGGTCTCGACGTTGTAAGAAGCTACCAGTGGTGTCCCAACATGAGAAAGCCATTTGGAATGGTACCGAGATCGATCATCCTGAGCAGTGTCTGAAGGAAGGCATGCTGTTTTTAGAAACGAACTTGCTTCTGCCTCAGTGTTAATGATCCCTGCATACATGGGTGGGGAAGGAGTGGTCAGAGTTTTAACTCCTTATTTGTTGTTTGGCGGCACACTGCCACTATACTTGACGTAACCATGTAGTGAGCGGACTTTTAGCTCATTTAATCTTTTAGATTTGTGTTGAATGGTAGTTTGACAGTTCATAAGTACGTCGACAACATTCCACAGTTAATCGCACTGCTTATTTGTTAAGCCATTCAGGTGCCATTTACCAATACATTACTGCCCAACCACATACTGAAACGATTTTCTCAACTATATCTACATTGGTTTAATGATCTGCGATGTCTACGACGCTCAGTTATGAAATTTGGGGCAGAATTTTCTCCAAAAAGACAAAAACAGCTTAATTGACTCTATGCCGTATCTAACATGGACTGCTATAGCTGTAAGATTACCGTAATTAAAACGTAAACTTTTTGTTGCTAGGATTTCCTAACTCCTTAAATGAAATGTTTTTATTCAGAATTCTAATCGTTTGCATATCGACTCAAACGATATACACATGACAAATTTAGCGGCTGTAGCACTTTGTTTCATGGTGCAAACGCGTTTTTGCAAAGGAAAAAACACTGTTTATTACTTGCAGTAATGATGCAAATGAGTATAGAAATTATGAATTAAGTATATTTAAAGTCAAATGAATAATTCATATTACAACATTACATCACTTAGATTTGCTATCTTAAAAATGGAATAAAAATGCAAATCATTAACGTTATTTATATTGTTTTTAAGATCATTGAGCTAGTTTAGAAGCAGCCGCCTAGAGGGTATAGTGATTAGGGTAGCCCACTGCGATACCAGAAGGCCCGGTTCCGAATCCAGGAGAAGGCATGGTTGGGTTATAACTATGCATCCTTTCACTGGAGACAAAGTTGGCCCACCTATGAGGTGCCTCCATAATAAAGTGACCAACACTTCTAGCCTTAGTAGTGGCCAAGCCGAAGTCGGCTGAGGGCCCGTATTGGTAAAAAAAAAATATGTTTAGAAACATATAAGTTATAATATTTGAAAAGTAAGTTTTGTGCCTCATTAAATGTCAAAACCCGTGAGAATTGACACTTTTCAATGCGGCATTAATGATAAATGTAACGTAGCCCTTTTTCTCCAAAATAAATGGAAAAATTAAGCTATAGACTTTCCTGACCACGTAGCTCCTCGCGTAATTTTTCGCAAATTTTACAACAAGTTTTGAATCTTTTTTTTTAAGTACTCACGTAATTTTCAACTTCTTCAATGTTTAAGAAAAGCGGGCTCTCCTAAATTTTAAAAGGAATTCGTTCTCCTTATGGTTGATTCGAACTTAATAATTGATTTAGTCGTGGATTTTAGATGAATTGGCTCTAATTGATGAAGCAATAATAGTGATGAGCTTCAAGAAAAAGAGGATACCTAATGCTTCTGATGGTTCTGAAGATAATTGCACGCATCAATTGGCGACGATAGCAATGACCTGGAAACTATATTGGACTACACTGACATCAGTTCCAACAGCATTAAAGGATTTGAGACCTAGGAGTTGCAGTGGACAACGATAAGATCAGACGGCAGTAAGGGTATAGGGAAGTAGAAGTGAACATACTTTATTAGATAATGTAATGCTAACTTTGTAGAGTCATTAGGTTAATTGGAAGCAGAAAAGAAGATGAAAAATATGCAACCGCCTTCGCCGGGAATTGAAACACGGACCTCTGGAATACCGGCCCAGCGTGCTACCGTTACGCCACGAAAGGCACACTAGGGAAGTGGGAGAAATACCTTATAACTTTACTATGCTATCTTACTGGAATGTAGGTTTCATTTAAATGAATAATATTATGATAGTTAGAAGTAGTTTATCATGAGTACTATTCATTTGTTATGATCTTAAGGCACGGGAATTAAATTATTCGCACGATTTTCCCCTCTTGAATTTTGAACGACAAAACTAGTAAAAAAAAATGGAAAACGAATACGCGAGTAAATAAGGTATATGAATTCAGTTGGTTTTCTACCCACATTAGGTGGATGCGAATATCAGCATTTTAATCAATTAAAAATCTCAGAAAATTTATAGAAAATTTTGAAAGATCTTTGAAAAGGATTTTGAAATTTCTGATATGCTTCAATCTGATTTATATCAGTCGCACAAATAATTGTTCAGATTAAACTTATTTGAAGATGTAGAATGTTGATAGAATTCACCTGCAAACGGAAAGCGTTATTAGCAATTGTTTGTGGACAGTAAATGTAATGCGTTATGTATGTTATATAATTTATATACACGTTCATGATGTTTCTAATAACGATAGAACAAATTTTTAAAAACAGCGTTACATCACTCAGCGATTGCTCTGACAGCAAACTAAAAGTACTTATAATGTGTTTACATAAATTTCATTATTTCATTTAACAGCAATGTGCTAGATCTTTATTAACAAGAAGTATTATCATGTTTCTGTTGAAAGTTAGTGCAGATTAATCACATAGAAATCACATCAATAAAAGATAAGGATGGCTGATAATTTGTCGGAACAACAAAGAAAATGCTTTACTGTATCTTTCAAGAAACGTTATTTCTATAATAATAGAATATTAATCGTAACAAAGCTGTCAACACATGTATCAGTATTTTATTTGGTGACAGAATAGTGCGTATTATTTTTGCGGCAATATTTTCGTTACCTCTATATGATAGTTCATATTTAACCGAATGGTTAATATACTTAGTTACTTTGAATTGCAGCTGAGATCGGTAGGTTACCTGCAGATTTCGTGGTTTCTTGTATGAGAAACACAAACGCGAAAC